ACTGTATACTCACAGGCCTTAACTGTGGTTTAAAATCATTTAAAAATATAAATATCATCTATGGCAGCACAGTGGCTCAGTTAGTAGAGCTGTTGACTCCCAGCAAGTTTTTTTTCACTTGCACTATGGTAGAATAAAATTCTACATATCTCATTCTAAATATATTAAAATGTACAATATTTACAATAATTTTAGCTTCTAATATAGATTTTATTGATCATTTCCCACTTATAGTTTTCATTTTAGTGCAATAAAATATWTTTAAAGCCAGACATAAAACATACTGACTCAACATTTGCAAACCTACAGCACACAGTAGGTTCTCCTCCTGACCATGAGGGACATCACTGAACACAAGTTCAACATAACTGAATGAATCAATGAATGAAGTGATTCAGTTCAGCTTGTTCACTCAGTTTGTTTACGGTATTTRAACGAATCACTCGTGAACAACACAGTAGTATTAGCCTCCTGGGTAAGTTGTGCCAGCAACTGAGTCTTTTCGTTTTTATTTATTTATTTTTTGCAGGCAAGAGAATAAGTAAAGTTAGATTAGATAATAGAAAAAAATAAATCAGACTCTTCATGGAAGAACAGCTGTAAAACATCTAATAAAGCCTGTTTCAATGCAGAAAGCCCAGATATCAAAGCATCTAATATTGACTTTTGGTCTTGCCCTTCGTGTACAAAGATTTCTCCAGATTCTCAAAAGTTTTTGTTGACTAAAAAATTATAAGACAAAAATAATAGGAGATTTCAAAGTTTTCCCAATTTTATATTGAGGAACATTCATTTGAATTTGTTCCACTATTTTAGACTCATTTTAAAACCCAGTTCTCTTAATGACCTGTTGCCAGTTAACCTCATTTGTAAGCTGTTTYTGATCCATAACATTTTTACAGCCTTTTGCTTTCCCAATCCCAACTTTATTATAAAATTCAGAATTAACTTACTTTTTAAAACATATATTTTTTTCTTTGTTTCAGCAGTTAAGTTTAATATAATCTAGTGTGAATAAAACATGAAKTTACAGTGGTGGGATGTAACTATGTACAAGTACTTTGTTGCTGTACTTAAGTAYATTTTTCATGTATCTGTACTGTACTGTGGAGGGACTGTGGTGGAGTGGTTAGGGGAGTCGTCCTGAACCGGAAGATCACCGGTTCGATCCCCGTCCAGTCGACTCAGTCGTTGTGTCCTTGGGCAAGACATCTTACCCACATTGCCTACTGATGGTGGTCAGATGGTGGTGCCTGTGTATGGCAGCCTCGCTTCTGTCAGTGTGACCCAGGGCAGCTGTGGCTACAATTGTAGTTTGCCATCATCAGTGTGTGCATGGGTGAATGTCTACAGTGTAAAGCGCTTTGAGTGTCCTGGATGGATAGAAAGGCGCTATATACAGGTGCTGGTCATAAAATTTGAATATCATGAAAAAGTAGATTTATTTCAGTAATTCCATTTAAAAAGTGAAACTTGTATATTATATTCATACATTACATACAAACTCATATAT